TCCTCCAAAAAATAAGTGTTTTTGCAAGCATGTTTGGTTTTCCAATAGTTATTTTATAAGTAATATTTATTTTATATTCTCATCCTTTTCTAATAACTCATATGTTTAATATCAATATTTATAATAGTTTGTTTCTCAAATATATAATTTTTCATTTTTCATTTCAATTGTATGCTTTTTATTTATTTAAATATTCATCTTTTTGAAAACATGTTTTCATCAAACCATGAAGAGGAACTTCAGATATAATTCGATAACCTCAAAAAATTTCGAAACATTCAAAGCTAGCATTTGCAAAGGCAATTTACATATTCCTTTCACCTTTAAACATTCATAGCTGTTCACTTTTGTTTAGACCAGTGCTTGCGGTGTGTTTTGGCCAGAATATGGATTTTCTTTCCCATTGTGCAGTGGTGAAATGAACAATTCCATTTGGATGACGCCGCTGGTTCGCACGCATGTAGTTACATACAAGGCTTTGATGCCGTCGTTATTATTGTGTTGTTGTTGTTGTTACTGTTGCTGCGAAACTTAACATGGCACGCGAAGAATCCTGCAAACGAAATGGATATATCAGCGCGTTAGTCCTACGCTCATTCACGTACGTATACTTGTGTGTGTGTGTTTGTGTGAGTGCGTGCGTTAAAGGATACAACAGACAAAATTCGCTGAATGGCGTTTTGTTTGTGGCTGCGAATGTTAGCATTGGGCTTAAATGTAATTTTGGCCACCTTGCGCAAAACTTTGAGATTCGCACAGAATTTGATTTAATTTTCTTGTTTCCATATGCAAAGTTATGCTTGGGTGGGAGCGAGCTGTAAAAGGACGCCACACAAGAGACGATGAAACAGAAATCCATGGCTTGGAAGTTTTAAAGCCTTATGCTCAACTTTGGCATTAGCTGTGCTTGCCGAGGCTAATAAGCATTCAAGTCCTGAGATGCTTTTGTCTTCAAGCGACTACTATTTCAGCGCTTTGCAACACTGCTTGCGTAATTTATGCATTTTCCATAGCATTAGCGTTGAAAAGCATTGCAAATGTAATGCCATTCAAATCGCTTTCTATGCTGGCTGCCCAACCTGTTTTGGCAGAAAGGTCGTGCAAATTAGTGCAACAACAAATACACCGTCAGGTAGAGATACAAAAACAACAAGAACACCAGTAATGATGCTAGCAAACGGCAAAGTTTCATGAATAGCAAGCGAACGGACTGCCTGGACACGCTCGCAATCTTGGCCAAACTTATATAAAAGTAACTAGGGAGATAATAGCCAAGTAGCAAAAACTACTGTGAAGAGTTGGGCAGAAGGGTTAGCCGAAAAGATGCCGAGCTTTGTTAATGAAATGGAGCTGGAAGAAGGTAGCTGAGGTAAGCGGAAGCCAAAAGTGGCAGTGAACTTGTGGTTGGTTGTGCATTTGTGAGATTTCAAAAAGCAATTCAAATGCTGCTACTCAGAGGTTGCTTAGCATTTGCTTAAGAGGCTCTTGTATGGAACAAATAACGAAGTGGACCAGGGTGTGTTGTTCTTAACGAAATAGCTTCTTATATAATTGTTAGGTTTTATTCAATTCATCTTGTGCTAAACACATTTATTGACTGCTTCAATAGTCGCGAATAAAATGCACAAACTTATTTAGGGCTTAGTTGAACAATGGGGCCAGTGTCGCTTATCTTGCAATAAAGTCCTATTTTAAAAATGAGCAAATACTATTCAAAAAATGTAAAGGAAATCATATACGAGCTAGATTAAAAAGAATCCAATTCCATAAGAAGAAATGACTTCTTCTTATTTTGATTATTGCAGACCAAATACAGACATGATAATAATTTTGAATGGTCTGATTGGAACTTGACTTATAGACTGGGATATATTCGTAAACGTATACGTAATATATAAAGAATGCTGACTGTGCCATTAAGAATCAATGATATCACCAAAACATTCAATTAATTCGTTTAATACTACAATTCTTGATGGCCACAATGTTTTTTGGTGTTGTTTATTTTTATTTTATGTTATTACTCTTCTGGAAGTAAATTCATTTTCTGCTAAAACTAACCACTTAAAATTTTACTCTACTGTCAATTATCAAAAAATGTTAACATCTTATGATTATAAGAAGAGAGAACGTTACAGTCGAGCAAGCCCGCCAGTGAAATATCCTGTACCCAGGTAAACTTCCGACGCTGAGGTATATGCGCCCAAAGCAGCAGCAAAAAGAGGAAGAAGAAGAGCGAACTTGTTGCTGCAGTTTGAGGGGGTTGTACTGGCGAGAATTTGTTTCGCTAATAACTTTTCTTAGAATTGACAGAATTGAAAAATTTTATGCAACAGTAGATAATTATATATAAATGATATGTGCAAAGTTTGGTTATTGTAACTTTTGAAATGTGGACGCTATTGACGAAATTCTGTAGCGGGGGAAGGGGAGGACAATTCCAAAAAATAAAATAAACTCGTCCTTTCTCGGACCTAGGAGAATCTGGATGCCAACTTTGGTTATTCTAGCTCTTATAGTTTCTGAGATCCTTGCGTTCATCCAGACGGACAGACGGACGGACGGACGGACAGACGGATGGACGGACGGACATGTCTAGATCGATTTCTCTCGTCATGCTGATTCAGAATATATATACTTTATGGGGTCGGAGATGCTTCCTTCTGCATGTTACATACTTTGCACAAACCTAATATACCCTTTTTACCCTACGGGTACAGGGTATAAAAAGCAGCCTTCTTTGATTTTGCAAACCATAAAGCCTTTTGTGTTCTAACTACCTTAACAGGTGGTAGATGGCAGTAACAAAAAACAAAATGTAACGACTCAACTGTGGCCTGTTCCCAAATTTCTGCCTTTTCTGCCAACTTCTATGACCGGTCACAGGTTATACCAGTTTAAGGCGACTTTGCAAACTCATCTGCTCTTAATAGGGATTGGAATTACACAAGACAACCAAATATATAAACTCAGGCGCATTTGCATGCCAATTACAAAATATGCCAACTACTTTGCATAATTTTTTTTCTCAGGCAGCGCTCGCTAATTTCGTTAAGTTATGAGGAAAGTCGAAAAAATAGGAAAAACAAAATAGAGCTAGAAAAACAAATAAGCACTAAAAACTCACTCGAGGCAAACAACAGAGTTAAAACTGAAGAAGAGTTTGCAAACCGGCAACATGTGCGTCTAATGTGCGCACATTAGCAACACAAATGCTGCAGAGTGGGAGAGATCCTGCGCTTGTGGGAAGCGGAAGGACGAAGGGCGAAGGCATGAAGCCAAGGCAACTCAAGCAAACGAACGCACTTAATTTATGCAATTTGGTTAACAACGTTAAAATTGCAGACGAGCGTATGGAGCAGTGAGTGTAGAGAGACTTGCCTAGTTGCCTGCCTGCCTGCCGACATAAATCAAAATGGAAACAATAACCGAGCAGACCGTGCACGGGCGAAAGGAGTAATAAGGATAATGAAGCGGCAGCGACGAGTACGTTGAGGATGACGATGACGCTGGCATGCGTGAGGATCTCAGTCTGGGCACTTTGCCTGCTGCTATGTAAACGATGATGAGCACGATAATGATGGTATTTGAGTGAACGCATATGTGTGTGTGTGTGTGTGTGTGTGTGTGTGTGTGTGTGTGTGTGTGTGTGTCTGTGTGTGTGTGTGTATCTGTGCACGAAATTGCAAAACAGGAGCAGACGCCGCCGCACTCATCAGTCCACACTGGGACAGAAGTTCAAAATGAACCCAAAACTTAAATAAATAGTTATAATTTTGGAAGACCAGAGCCTTATTTTTATTTAAATTTTTTATAAATATAGACATTTAATTAATTAAGCAATATTTGAAATACTACACCCGTTTATATGTTTAATTATTTTTAGAATTTTTACTTCGCAGTCTTTATTCTGTATTTTTTATTGAAAGCATGCAAACTGATATTTTATTTGAATCCATAAGATTATCCTTATTTGGGGCTCTAATTAACATAACTTTAAAATTCCTTCACTTCTTTGCTGTTGACTTATGTAGATCAGATTCATGACCAATATGGTATCGGGCTCAGAAACCATTGGTATGTCCAGGTCCAATTATGTATTGCGATGGTATTATAGTGGATTGGAACCTGTATGTTAGAGTGACTGGTTGTCCAACATAGTTAAGTGCCAAAGGTTCCTACTGGCTTTACGATTTTCAACTTTTAAAACTAATTACATTGCATCTCTAATATTTTAATTTATGTCTGATAAAATAGTATTATATTTGTGGTATTCCTTTTTTGTTTTTATCATTATTTTTAGGACACATGTTTGAGCTTCCAGCCCAGTGTACAGTGGCAGGAAGTCAGAAAACCATATATTCAAGTTAATATTGTTGCTGTTGTTGTTGTTGTTATTAATGCTAGCGTTGATATTGACGCTGTCAGTGTAGGAACTCCATTTTCTCAATATTTGTGCAAATATTGGCTCATTATTTGAACATATTACGTATTAATTTGCTTATTAATTATATTGATGTAACTGGGAACGGAACCGAGAGTCAATTTCTTTGCACTTGATGTGCAGCTAAATTGTTGGCAAATTTGTGAAGCTAAATAGGTTGACATGTGCGGTAGACATTCCCATTCAAATGGAAATGGAATGCTTGACTAAATTCCAACTACATAGTACGCATCTAAACAACAATTCCCACTCGTAATGTGTCATGTTAAGTGAAACTAATGCAAAATTCTATGTGCATGGCTTGGCCCATTTGGCAAAATAATTTGTAAATATTTGCACTGCCTTAAAAATTATAGCAAATTGCTATAATGGCGTATATTTATATTTACTCGTCCGGCAATTTGTGCGTGCTTTCAAACTATTATTGCCTGCTCCAATTTGTATTGCCGCTATATATGTATATGCATGTACTTGTATGTGTGTCTGACTGCATGAGTATATCGGCTATATAAAGCGTGCTGAGCAATGCAAATCGTTCAAGTTTTAAACTGTTGCCATGCAGTACCTAATCGCGGTTAGTTCGTTCGTCCTGGCTCTAGCTCTGGCGCAGGGGGAGGAGCGTGATGTGCAGCGCATTATGAAGGATATGTCCATCATACCCGATGTATTGAAGGAGCCGCCCAAGGAACTTTTAAAGGTAATCATTTTCACTTAATTGAAGTAAATTATTAATTTGTGTTTACAATTGAGCTTCTATTTATTTGTAATAATATTTTCGATTGAAATTTAAATCGTTTAGTGTCAACGTAAAAGAAACTAACATCATAATATTTAAAAAAAGTTTTTTTTTAAGCGAAACATAATAAAGTGGTACTAAAACTTTAATATTTTACTTCGCAAGAAAAAAAATAATAAAATTTTAAACATATTTTTGATGAACTTAATTGAAAAAGTTAAAAAATAAATAAAAGCAATATCAAAAAGCTTAAAAACTTCTTCAGTCGTAAAAATATTGAACATTAACATTGTATTTCAACTAAATATGTTTGGATTGAAAAGCACTCTTCAAAAATAAATTCAAAATATTATAAAATATATAACGTTTATTAGTTTAAAGACAATAAGGACACCTAATTAATTTCAATCCCCAGGTAATCTTCGAAAACAGACTAAATATTGAAGAAGGGAATCTGTACACGCCCATGTCGCTAAAATTCGAGCCTAAATTGGATTGGGATGCCGATGAAGATACTTATTATACTATCGTAATGCTTACACCGGATGCGCCGAGTCGCGAGAATCCGATTTATCGTTCCTGGCTCCATTGGCTAGTTGTCAATGTTCCAGGTGATAGCATTTCTAAAGGTCAAATAATATCAGAATACTATGGTCCCATTCCACCCAAGAAAAGCGGAGAGTTGCGTTATGTGGTGCTTGTCTATGAGCAGTCCGATAAAATTGAATTTAAGGAGCAGAAGGTGGAGCTGAATAATCCCGACCAGCATAGCAATTTCGATGTACAGAAATTCGCGGACAAATATTCCTTGGGTACACCAGTGGCTGGTAATACATTTCTAGCAAAGTGGGATGAATCTGTACCCGAACTTATGCAGCTACTGTACGGCATAAGTGATGTTAATGAATAGCTGACTGCTTTCAGCTTCCGCAAGTAAAATTGGTAATCAAACTAAAAATTGAATACAAAAATCTAAAAAATAAAGCTGTTTAAGCTAATTGTGTTTCTGAACGAATAAAGAAATTAATGTTCTCCAACTTTGATATTTGTTTGATTGTCGTTTATGTGCATTTTTAAGAATCTCCGAGAGCGGCAGCTATCACCAAATCAACAAAGTTCCAGAGAATGTCATTCATTTCGCTCTTAACTCAACATTAAGTAACTTCTATAAAGTACTAAGAAGTGCCATGTTACCCCCTGTCTCCACATTGATTGACTTGCTACAATTTCTAAGTGCCACAAGAACTCGAAGAGCAGCAACTTCGCAGAGCTATCGCCTTGCACTTGCAGAAAAGTCACTTAAACTTTGCAATCTTGATAAGCCGTAATGTTAGATTTCCATTTATATTTCTTACCCTCAATGAAATGAAAAACAAGTGTTAAAGGTTCATAGCTGAATGTAATTCGAGGCTATGCCAACTTGTTTTAGGGGAGGTTGCAAGTCAACTCCCACACGGCCACCAACAGTAACAGCAATGCCAACGACACCCATCCCTGACGCAACTGTGACCGAGACCAAGACCGAGACTAAGACGGAAACGCGCAGACCAACTCCGAGTGGTAACTAAACGAGGAGCGGGCCGAAAGCACTTTTTGTGGCAAGGGCAAATAACCTTAAGGTTAAGATTACAAGGTAATTTGATTCAATTCGACTGATAGGCGTGCCAAGGCAACAGCAACAGCAACAACAACAACAACAACAAAATACAGCTAACAGCTGACTGGAGCGCAATTTCCCAGCGCCCAGATGACAACGTCAAGATAAAAATTGTTGCAAAGGTTACTTTTTGCCATACACACTTTATTCCTTCTCCTACTCTCCTCTTTTTTGCTTTCCTTCTTTTTATCAGTTTGCGTATAAATTTGCGTTTATTTTGACATATTTAGATGCGTCTTTGGGGCATTATAAGCAAGTAAATGTCTAAGATGCCGACTGAGACTAAGACAATTGCCCAGACGATAAGGCGGCTGGGCAAAGAAACTCCATTAAGCCGCAGATAAACACATAAGTGGCCGAAATTCTATGTGCATTTAATTGACTAGTAAGTGCGGTTTGTTATTGCTGTTGTTAGTTGTGTTCGGTGCTTTGGGGCGTGTGCCCATCAATTGGGGTTAGATTTGGAACATTTGTAATGCTGCATAAATATTAAATATTGCACTAATTTAATGCTTGCCCATGGGACGAGAGGAGACGAACATTACAAAAGCGTATACTAGTATTGTACGAGGGCGCAGGTAGCACACAGAACAGACAACATTTCCTGATCAGTAAGTCAACAAATCAATTTAGAAATGTCCTAGGGTCTTGGAAGAGCTAGAATAATCAAACCTGGCAACCAGATTTTCCATTTTTTCCACTCCTTGTAATTTTCAAGCCTTCCGTAATTCGTAATTCTTGTTGAATTAGTGCTTATATATACAAGTAATTAAAGCCCTTCCGAACGAAACTTTCTGGCGAAAATTCAATAATGACAATGGTCGTTGCAACTTTATTTTAACGTATGCAGGACCTACTAAAAGTCAGCAGTCAGTCATTGAAACGTATGTAAACGAACAAATAAAGTTTACCTCCTATTGGCCGTTTTCTCAGTCGGTCAGCTTTTTGTCATTTCTAATTTCGGCAACACTACTTTCGGCAGCAGTTCCCAATTCATCTGCGAATATAATTTCTCACACAGGTAATATATTTTACCCCTGACTATGGTAGAGGATAAACGAAGAAATTCTATGCCAGAAAATGAAAAAATAAAAATAGAGAATATAAAACACAACATTAAATACAAATTGAAAAAAAGTAATAATACTCCAGCTACTTCAAAAAAATCTTACTGCTCACCTTCAACTCGTCAACTTAAACGTCCGTATTAGCTAAAAACACAGCAATTGCCAAGCTACCGATAGCATCGAGTGAGCGTCGGAAAACATTATCGCAAGACATATGGCGACAGCTGTAAAGTGAAAATTACTTTTCGATGAGAGTGCCGCAGCATATACTATTGAAAGAAGTGGCAGACTTTTAATTGAAATTTTAGTTCTCACTTATAATTATACTCTTCGGCGCACAGCCCATCCGCAGCCCGTATCCGACATCTCAATCCATTTATTCACCCAACTTGCCAGCAGCAGCCTGTAACACATCGCGTATGAGTAATTTGCCTGACTTTGGTTTTTCTTTTTACTGACAACCGCGGCAAGTCTCAGCGCGCGCAAAAGTTTTTAAGTTTGCTTTATTATTTATCCCATGTGACAAATTTTAGTGCAGCAGATTTTTGCGTAGCTGCCTGGCATAATAAATTATGGAAACGCAGAGAGGAAAAAATACTGGAAAAGAACTTTATCTCAACGAGTACGCCAAAGTTTTTTGAGCACGTTTTAATTTAATAATCGTCGTCGCAGTTGCGGCAACAAAGTTGTGACAACATTTGCTCTGGGTAGCATTTAGTGCATTTATTCATTTGGCATGATAATCACTGGCTGATGGAAACTTCTCTTAGCTCAAATGCCAGATGGGGTCGGAGATGGAGACGGAGATGGAGATGGTAACTAAGTAACTTTGCGTGTTGCTGGCACTTGAATAAATCATGTAATAAATAAACAGTGGACACACACACAGACACGCAGACACATTATATTCATGCATTATTGATATGGCAATGTTTATTTGAACCAATAGCTATGACACTTGACAAAAAGCGACCAGATGCTAACTGTACAACTACAACTACAACTATAGTATAGAACTGATATGGAAGAGCTTGCATATTGCATTGCATATCAAATGCAGCGAACAAACCGAGCAAATGACAGACTGGGCACACTTTGTTCGATGTTACTGGCATTTTTGTCATTCAGTTAAAATGTGATAAATTCCATTAAGTGACAGACACACACCACAAACCCACATGCACACAAATATACTACTATATAGAAGAGCAATAGTCATAGAGAGAGAGAATAGTGTTTTGGTACGTATATAGAAGTGTTTCGTTGGACAGGCAAGAAATCCATTTGTGGCATAAAATCAAAATCTGCCACATACACACACACACACATACAAATACAAATACACAAACACACAAATAGAGCAAATTTCTAAACATCAACTTCAACTTTGAAAGCCAGCTGTCACATACATATAGACAAGCACTCGTACACAGATATAGGTATGTATCGCACATACCAACACTTGTACGCATCGCATATTGAAATTGTGATTTGATTTCTGCCATTTGCCCCCAGCCCCCTCCACCAGTCCGCTCCACCACCGCCTTCCCACATAAAAGTGTCAGCTGCACATTGTGGTTGGGCTAGTTGGGTGGTTAGTGAGGTGGCACGGTGGCCACAAGCCGCATTTCTGTTTTTATTGAACGCGAGTGTCTGTGATTTATAGCACAATTCAATAAAAACAAATAGCCATGAGTGTTGCTCGGTGAAATAAACTAGAACAAGCTGAGCTGGACAAAATATAAATATTTCACATGGCCGGAATGCGAAACCACTCCACTTCTACATCTGTTAGCAATGGATGCTCGAGAAGAGAGAATGAGCTTGGAAAAGAAAAGCGTAGGGAAATAAAAAATCTATTTATGGCAAGATCTGATTTCTCTCACTAGGTAGAAGAAATGAGTTCTTTAAATAATTTGTATTCTTAGTTTTAAATACAAAGTATATATTTCTTTCGTTTAAGTAATAACGGAAGAATTTAAAAGAAAAATGGGGGACAATTTTGAACATAGGTATGTTCACACCCCTCCAAAGAGGCCCATAAAATCCCTTTGGTTTTATCAGCCAACCTAATCTTATGATCTACAGTTTTGTTGTATCCGAGTCTGCTGAGATCTGGAGAGTAATATCGGATGTGCTCCACGCTTTCCTCCTCTTCCTCACCTCAGCAGAATCTGCAGATTCTATTTTTAGTTGTGTTCTTGTTCCTTCTTTTTTGTTTATAAAAACAGATTTTAAATTTAATTACCATTTCATATTTCGAGTATTATTTATTTTTTCTTACTTAATAACGTGTTTAAAATTGTGGTGGTGAATAAAATCGCCAAGGCTTGACGTAGGGCTTCAAATATTTATTAAAAATGTAGCTCACTACATTCGGTAAAGAATAGTATTATGATTAGCCCAATTAAAGTCTGAATAATCCAGTTAATTTTTTTTAGCTTTTGTAACATGATACTTAATGTTGAAATTATTAAATTTAATTTTCTATAGAAATTTATCTTCTTTTTATGCAGATATTGCAATTCTTAAAGACTTTCATGTAAATGAGTTCGTGATTTTAAATTATTTTGTAACGTTTAAGGTGTGGCATTCCACTAACCTTAGGGTTAACACTCTGCGCTTTGTTGCATCAACTTGCACGCACCTTTTATTTGTTGCACTTATGAGCTCGCTCTCATTTCTGCCTTTTCTTCAGTCTTTGTTCATTATTTAATTTTAATTTAAAATGCTGCCTGCAGGCCTCGCCTGAAAACAAAGCACAGAGGCAAATAAATAAAATAAAATGGCAAACTCATTACACGGTAGAGTGGCAAGTGCCCAGAGAGGATGCAGAAGTGCCAACGTCACGGCAACAAGTCGTCGACGACCCTTCCCCACACCTCTCCAGGTGCTGGCAATCGCAACACAATGCAGCGGACTGCAAAAAAGCGAGCGAGCGAGCAGTTTAAAAAGCACAATGGCGTGCTCGGACGAGTGCATTGTTTCAACGTCACTCCATCAAGGCCCCTCTCATCTGCACCATTCCCTCCAACCACCTGCCTTTCGGCGCTGCGTAGGCGCAGGCAAGTGCTTTATGAACATTGCCATTGCCACTTGGGCATTGATGCCAGGTGACAGGCGACGTTGCGCGCACTGGTTTGAGGTTAACGCACAGACACCCACACCCACACTCACACAGCTGTG